TTCTATCTAGAAACCAAAGACCAAAAAGAAACAAGAAAAGAAAGAAAAACAAACTGCTTACTTACAATCAATTGCTAACCAAGCTATAATCTCCAGTTTATGAACCTGAAGGCCTACTTTTTTCTCACAAAACAGATTATGAAATGGATACATTATTGCTTGGAACACGTCATCTAAAATGTTACTATAGTGCACAAGTATGTCACTGACATTCTGCAGTTCATAACAAAACTACTTTAATTGACTCAAAACAAAACAAACCCAGTTCACAAAATAATGGGAGTAATTATGAACCACTCAAGTGCTGCCTCTGGAAACCTGGTATACTCGAGAACCGCACTTCTATGCCGCAATATATATCAGCTTTAGGACTCATGAAAATCACTGAGGTTTACACAGAAATGGTATCAATGATTTCAGTCTTCATGAAGAATGAAGTGAATCTGCTGTTTATCTGTCACCAACACTGGGATCTGTTTGTTTCTTTTTCTGCATATTCAGAAGATGCAGCCAGTTCATCATTGAAGGGAGGAAGGCGAACGTTGAAGTGTAAGCACTAGATGTATTTAAAATCAAAGAAGGCTTCCTGATCTCTATGTGTAGTAAACTCAGGTCACACTTCAACAGGACTTCTAAGGATTTTTTTCATCACTGATGGGATTCTTCTTATCATTAAATTGTATTTGGCAATCACTGAAAGTTGCCTACAGACTACTGTGTTTTGAGCCACAGAAGGGTGGTGTGTGTGTGTGTGTGTCTCTTTCTTTTTAGAAATCCTTTAATACAAGGTACCTTGTTTCCTCAATTAATGAGGGTGCTGGCTGGTAAACAATTTTGTCAGTCAGCTATGTGCACACGGGTAAATACTGTTCCCTAGGTAAAGGTAACTTTTTAATGTAGTTGTGAAATTCCATTATATTCCATTGCCAAAGAGACATTAGGAAGTTTGTATAAAATGCAACAATTTTTTTAAAGAAGTAGAGTTTTAAAATTAAAGAAAAAAGAGATCAACAAGAAATGAAAATGAAAATAAAATGAATTCTTAGTGTTTATCTCAAAGTTATCAAAATATAGTATCTGCGGTTTCTTTTATAAAATTTGCTTTATATGCTGAGCATGGTGGGGCATGCCTTTTATCCCAGGGTTTAGGAGGCAGAGGCAGGCGGAGCTCTGTGAGTTCGAGGCCAGCCTGGTCTACATAGTGAGTTCCAGGACAGCTGGGGCTACAAGGAGACCCTGTCTTAAAAAAGATTAAAAAAAAAATTGCTTGAAACATCATATCATAAAATATTTAATGGAAGCTTTCAGGTCTGACATGGTGGTACACACCTATAATTCCAGCCCTGAAGGAGCCTGAGGCAGGAGGATGGTGAGTTAAAGGGCAGTCTAAGCTACACAGTAAGATGGAGGCCTCTAATATATAATAAGACTCTTTCTTAAAAATAAAACTTTAAAAGCTCACCATTTGCTACCACTATGAAAACAATGAGTAAATGGGACCATGTGTTTACATTAAGAAGTTTCCATTAATTACGGCAAAAAAAAAAGAGCAATAAACTGGGCATAGTGATATATGCCTTAAATCCTAGCACGCAGAAGACACAGGCAGGTAGATCTCTGAGTTGGAGGCCAGCCAAGTTTGCATAGTGAGGATAATTTTAAAAAAAGGGCTGGTGTGGTGGTGCTTGCCTTTAAGGCAGGTGGATCTCTGAGTTCAAGGCCAGCCTGGTCTACATAGTGAGTTCCAGGACAGCTGGGGCTACAGGGAGAGACCCTGTCTCAAAAAGAGAAAAAAAAAAAAGAAAGAAAAGAAAAAGAGCCATCTTGATGGTTGAGTGGTTAAAGCGCTTGCTGGCTGTGCAAACCTGATGACTGTTTGATCCCTGGAAAATACACTGGAAGGGAGAACCCACTCCTGGAATTGGTGCACTGACCTCTACACACGCCCTGAAGCATGTGTGCACAAACAGGTTTTTGTTTTTTTTTTTTTGAGAGTGACTTAAGATCACTATTATTTCAGAATTTCCAAATTAGAATGGACAATTAGAGCGGTGGCGCATGCCTATAATCTCCGCACTCGAGTAGCAGGGGCAGAGGAAAGAGGATAACCCCAACTTCAAGGTCATCTATCATTGCATAGAAAACACTGTCTCAGGAACCAACAGAAAAGTTCAGACAAGTTAACTGTGAGCATGAGAAATGAGTAGATGCTGAAACATAAAATGAGGTGGTGAGACAAACAAAACTTCTTCCAGTGCACATTCTACCACTTTTAAAAGCTTTTCGTGTAGTACTATGGGTTTTTTTGTTTTGTTTTGATTTTTATCTTTTTGAGACAGGGTCTCCTTGTAGCCCAAGCTGTCCTGGAACTCACTATGTAGACCAAGCTGGCCTCACAAAGATCTGCCTGCCTCTGCCTCACAAGTGCTGGGATTAAAGGCGTGCGCCACCACACCCAGCCCTAAATCTTTTATTTATCATTTTTGTTTTATGTGTATGTGTGTACTGCCTGCATGCAAGTGCACTTTCATCATGCAAGTCAGAAGAGGGCATCGGATCCCCTAGAACTGGTGATAAGGATGGCTGTTAGATGTCATGTGGGTGCTGGGAATTGAACCCGGGTCCTCTGCAAGAGCAGCCAGTGCTCCTAACTGCTGAGCCATCTCTCCAACCCCAGTACTATGTTTAATACACTGGTTCTGTGTTGTGGGTTTTTTTTTTTTTTTTTAAAAAGTGTTGTCAAGGCAGAGTTTCCTGTAGCCTAGGCCAGCTTCCAACTCACTATTTAGCCAAGAATGACCTTGAACTTCTGATCCTCCTGCCTCCACCTCCCCAGGCTGGGATTACAGGCATATATCACCACACCTGGCTCAAGAAATTTTCTAATGAAGCAAAATTTTCTTGATATAAAATGAAAGAAAGGACAAATGCCATCCTTGGAGGCTGTTTTAATTGGTCTAAGGTGGGGCATTACAATGTTTTAAAAGATGTTGGCAGTCAGGCAAATAGACCCATGCCTGTAATCCCAGCAACCTGGAGACTGAGGGAGGAACAGAGTTCCAGAGCAGCCTGGGATATAGTCGACTTCCTCCCAAAGTTTCTAATGAAATATTCTTTATAGAATGCAAAAAGCACAGGAACCAAAACTAAATGTAAGATTCATGTTCTTACTGATAACTTTTTAGTGTCAGAACTACACAACTTTTATACAACTGTTTAAAAAAAAATATGAGGGAGTGGGTGTGGATTTGATCAAAACACCTTATATGCATGTATGAAATTCTCAATAAAATTCTTTTAGAGCTAAAAAAAAAAATTCCCGAGTGATAAAAATGGTTAGAAAAGAGTCTCTTGGCAAAACAGAAACAAATATCAAACAAAATCCTTAAGAAGAAAACACATATAAAAGTATTTTAGGGCTGGCAAGATGGCTCAGCAGTAAAGAAGCTTACCCCCAAACCTAACTTTCTGGGTTTAAGTAGGACCCATATGGTGGAAGAAGAGAAATGATTCCCACAAACTGTCCTCTGATGTCCACATGTACACTGTGGCATGTACTCAGCCCACAACATACAAACATACATGTGCATAAGTATATGAACACACAATTTTTAAAGTGTCTTAGCTTACTACATGTACCTTTGCCACAGAGCAAGAGCTAGCAGCCCTGCCTCTGGAGTACTTTCTTTTCTTTGTATGAGATCTTGAGGTTGCTCAGATATAAAACTTTGGGGGGGGGGGGTGTTTGTTTTTTAATTGAATTTTTGTGTATTTCATACAAAATAACATACATAGGATTTATTCAGGAGATTTTCATATTAAAATAATTAGATTTTTTTAAGGAGCTAGTTGATCGAGATTAACATATTATTCCTGCTGAAAAGTCACATGTAATTACTAGAATCAATTTAAATCATAAGACAACATTCTAAACAACTACTATTGACTAAACTCTATTTGCTTCTTGCTATTTTTTTTGGAAACAAGAAAGCAGCAACTGTGTAGAACAATAATTCTTAGTTGTGCTAATCTTCATCGAACCATGTACTCTCATTTAAAACCACTCAAAAACAGGCTGGGAGTGGTGGCGCATGCCTTTAATCCCAGAACTGGGGAGGCAGAGGCAGGGTGATCTCTGTGAGTTCAAAGCCAGCCTGGTCTACATAGTAAATTCCAGGCCAGCTAGGGCTAAAGGGAGACCCTGTCTTAAAAAGACAAAAAGAAAAGAAAAACTACTCAAAAAGAACTAGAATTCATCCCTACAATGTAGACTCTGCACTACTTAAAAGAAGGAAAAAAAAAAAAAAAAAAATCAAGCCCAGCAAGGAGATGCATGCTTATCATTCTAGTACTCAGAGGCTGAGGGGAGGACAGAAAAGTCCACGGAGCCTGAGTTGTAAGGTGAAAGGCTGTCTAAAACAGGGGCTAGAAGGTGGTTTCAGGTCAGAGTACTTGCCCAGCACATCCAAGACGACTGAATACTTTTCACTTGCTGAAGAACAGCAACACAATTGTAAGGTTACTCACCTAAAACTGCTGAAATAAGTCCCAATTTGAAATAAATAATTCCACAGAATTAGCAATTAATAACAACTGAAATCAAGAAAGTGAGGAAATCCCCAGCACGAAGAGTCTCTCAATCTGAATGCTTTTGCAGCTGGAATACAGTTGAAATGACTATGTAGCAGGGAAAGTTAAGTGTCAGTCACTCAGAGTTAGGGCGTGTGTTTTCTGAGGTCTATGATTACTGTGGAACAGATTTTTTTTTTAAATTATGTACTACTAAGAACTGTAATCAAATAACTACATTTTATATCCCAAAGTTCAATAAATTGCATTCATTAAAAACATGTCCTAAATAATGGCAAAAACCACATTACATCTGAGTTCTCTGAATAGAAAAGGTTGCTTTCCAAAGCACACCGAACCTAGATGTGTCTTTTTTATTTCCTACAACTGCTGCAGCATCCTTTCTGTCAACACCGTTAATGTCATCCTACCTGTTTAGATCGGGGTCTACCAGGAGAAAACTTTCTTTTGGTAATTGCTGGTTTACCCATGCCAATTTTTGGAGTGACTGAGATGTAAGTTGTTGGCATGATGTTTCCAGCAGCAGAGTTGAGAGCTGAATGGTAACCATGAAGCATGTCATGTGAAGGCAAGTCTGAACAAAGTGTTGAAGAGGAAGACACAGCTGCCTTGCAAATGTCTGCTGATGAAAAAGACGGTGACTGTGCCTCAGCCGGTAATCTTATGGACTGGTCTCCTTGGCATGAGCTATCTGTCACACAACTGTCAACAGCAGGAGTCATTTCAAAATCCATGCACTCAGTGGGAAATTCAGAATTTTTTTTCTGTTCCATTTCTTCTTGTACGCTTTCTGTCACCAACTGTTCCTCACAAGACAAAGAAGTTCTTTCCTCATGTGGGGACACTAAGGTTTCTGGGAGAACAGAGTCAGTGGTGGGCTCTGGAGGGCCCCATTCATCTTTAGCCACCCCCACCTTAGGGTCTTCCACCAACTGTAGCTCCTCATGAGGCAGAAGGGTCTGATGCGGCAGAACTTCAATGTTTTCTGTCACATCCATGTTCTCATCATTTTGATCTTCACCACAAACAGGCATCACTTTAGAAATCATTTCCATTTTTTCACTATCAATTTCATGAGTAATCTCATTTTCCAATTCAGGATTCATTTTAATGTTGGGAGATTCTACAAGATTTCAAATATTGGCAATGTTAATGCACATGCAAACTGAAAAATATGTAATTATATAAATAGGATTATTTAGTTAAACTACAACCTAGAAGGTATTCAAGAAAGGCAATGATTAGCAATGAAGGCCAAAATCCAAAAATCAATCATGGACCCACTGAAAACAAGGTTTAGTAAAATTCTTAGATGTTTAAGCAATTTGTTTTGTTTTGTTTTGTTTTTTAAAGAAAATCAAGAAACTCCATTACTAATATAACTCTATTATATGCATATGACATTGTTACAATTTAAAAACTTACTAAAGGACTGAAATTATGGAAACAAAGATATTATACTCATTCTAAAACAAAGAAAAAGATCAGTGATATTGAGTGAGGTGTCATGCTAAAAGACAGGCCTACCATATAAAGATAGTTTCTGCACACAAGGAAGAGTAATGAGCACAGAGAAGGCTTGCCTGCCCTACCATGACTCCTCCTGCCCATCAGGTGGACATGTTAATCTATCTAACACATACTGGAGGTTATAACCTCAGGCACTAATCTTGACAATTCTATAAACATGTTAGGCATTAAAAATAAATATAACTGGTTAATTCTAAATTAAGGTACTAGTGTATTAAAACTTTAACCTAGTCTTCCTCAAGAGGAAAGTTTAGGCTTTGAAGCCTAAGTGTATAATACTGCAGGACAGCCAAAGGCAGGATATTTACTCAAAATGCTCTAAAAGACACTAATGAAGATGCTAATTTCTTCATTTATTATTTTCAAATCAGTCATTTAAATTTATGTATGGTCTGATATCAAAATGAAATCTCCCTTCTCATTCCTGCTTTATTGAAATGACTAAGGATATAAGAAAAATGACAGCCAGGCATGGTGGTGCATGCCTTAGTCCCAGCACTCGGGAGGCAGAGGCAGGTGGATCTCCGTGAGTTCGAGGCCAGCCTGGTCTACATAGTGAGTTCCAAACCAGCTGGGGCTACAGGGAAATCCTGTCTCAAAAAGACCCAAAAAAAAAAAAAAAAAAAAGAAAAATATCAAATAATAGATCGGCTATTATTGAACATGTTTTAACAACCATAAACCTTTTATAGAAAAACTACCCATGGTCAATCCTACTCAAGAAATGAGTGGAGTGAACCATTATCTTGTGATCCATCAGATTACACAGTCTGAACATACTACGCACCAGAAGTAAGAAGAACGCCTGTGCCAGGGCTTCCTGGGGGATCACTCTTCTGCTGCGCTCCAGTGTTGACTTGAACTGCTATGAAGGACATTATTATGGACTCTCTAAGCAAGGAATCAACATTTCCCTAACACTGTTCCCTCAGTAGTAACTGAGTATGACTTTTACTGCAAAGTGCCAATTTCCAAAATAAGCATTAAAACATACTATTACTATTTATTAGTAAGTAGCATACAAAGACGAAATTAAGATTCTGTTTTTGTACTATAGGTCTAGTATATAACAGTAATTTTCTTCAGGTTATATCTTTATAAAATATGACTTTTAATGAGAGTAGTTAAATGTCAACAAAACTTGAAAAATTAAGGCTTTTTATATATTCATTCAAACTATACAATTTAATATATAACATCATTTACAATAGACTTCTACATCAGTTCATGATTCAATTTAATAAGCAATTTCCCCAAATATGAAATTTTGCTAACTATACATCAAGTTCAGTAACAGCTATTATCACTACTGCAAAAACTTGGCAAAATATGATTAAAATAGCACTGTGAAGATGACCTAATAAAGCAGATTTTACATTATCTCAGCATGAAACACTTCACATTGAATTGGGTCTAGTTAACAATTACAAGAACTAAAGAGAAAAAGCAATGGATTACTTGTTAATGAAAATCACTTGATCCCTAAACAAAGTACAAACATATGCCTACTAATTCATGCCTATGATTATGTTTCCCAAAAACTCACCTCTAAACAATTGCCTAAGAATACCATATCTTGTCTCAAAAGACCAAAAAAAAAAAAAAAAAGAAAAAAAAAAAACTATCAAATAATAGATCGGCTATTATTGAACAAGTTTTAACAACCATAAACCTTTTATAGAAAAACTACCCATGGTCAATCCTACTCAAGAAATGAGTGGAGTGGACCATTATCTTTTCATTTAAGTTACAGAAGATACATATTACCTGTATATAAACAATTTCTTCAAAAACAGTGTATTTATCATCACAAATATTCTTACCATCTGGAACAATTCCAGGTGTAGATTCATGACCACTGACGTCTCTATTAACCGTTTGCTCCAGAAATATCATTTGGTCTTCAGGTCCTTCGATTTCCATTCCATTGGGATAATCTTAACAGGAAATAGTTTTTAAAACCAAACACTTATATTTGAAAGTTATAATGCATTAAAAAGTAATTATGTGTAAATTTAAAATCTGTTTTATATATCAGAGGAATATGCTAATGGTAAACAAGGCCCTGGGTTCAACCCCTAACACAACTAAAGCAAAAAGAAAAATGAGAGACGGACGGACGGGAGGGAGGGAGGGAGGGATGACATCATTATTTATAAAAAAGCAATTTATATATACTAATAAAAAACTGGCATTTTCTTACTTGAAATGAAATAGTAGTAATTAAGATTTTTCTACTTAAACCTTTCACAGATAAAATACGTCTTCCATAAAGACTTCTAAATATACTGATGAAAATAAAAACAATTGGTAGAAGGATCTATTTTCTTTATCCTATTAAAATCTTGTTATTACGTTTATAACAGGAAACCCATAAAAACATACTGAATACCTGAACAAAATTTTAGTCTCAAGTGGTGACAATGAATGTTAATAAAGATTTAACAAAGCTTACTCAGAGAAAGATAACCCAGACGATGAGAAGAAAGTAGACCACAACTAAGGAAGTGTTGGCACAAAGAACCTGACGAACACCTCCGCATACTAGACCTGCAGTACAAGTCTGAATCAAGCTAGACTGTGGTCATCACATTCAAATGATCACGATACAACACCTAAAGGTTGAGAACTGGAAGCTAAGGTGGTGGTACACACTTGTAATCCAAGCACTTAGGAGACTAAAGTAGGAGGTTAGCCTGGACTAGATAGTGAGACTCTGTCTCAGATTTAGAAAGAAGGGAAAGGAGAAGAAAAAGAGGGAAGGGACACGTGAGAAACTGAGAATAAGACAGGATTTGATACAGACTTCATCGTGATTAGAGTTGTATGCTGTTGACTGGCACACTTTTTCTAAAAAGTATGAGCATACACACACACACGCCGGTTTACCCGTAGGGAGTACACACACACACACACACACACACACACACACACACACACCAGTTTACCTGTAGGGAGTTCAGGCATTTCCACTCCATCTTCTGGCTGTAAGGAATCCATCTCAGCTCCTAAATGTTTACAATACATGCAGATATACTCTTCTTTGAGCTGAGAATCCAGTTCATGATCTGTTGATTTGTCACATTCTAAGTGAACCCATCTGCAGTGATAAGTATATTTAAATAAAAACTAATTTAAAGTCAAGTTAGTATCTAGGGAATGGGAAGCCAACTGCTAGAAAGCAGATATGAGAGGGTTAAAGAAGAGAAAAGAACGGCTATAGGGCTGGCCATTTGCCAAAGGTTTTCCAAGGGGGGTGGGATTTGTGGGCATCACTACAATGGCATTGACATACTCTTCCATGTTTTAAACTCTGTTCTTTTTAATTTTCTCTGAGTGCTCATTTCTGGTCTGGTCTCATCTTCCACCTATTCAAGGGGGGTGGGATTTGTGGGCATCACTACAATGGCATTGACATACTCTTCCATGTTTTAAACTCTGTTCTTTTTAATTTTCTCTGAGTGCTCATTTCTGGTCTGGTCTCATCTTCCACCTATTCACTTCCTTATTCCTTTCAGACGTACAAGAAACATAATTCAATTAATTCCATTCAGTAGGAAAGGGATTGCCAAGAGTGATAAAAGGGTTCTGAGTTTAATAATATATGGTAGCGCAAACGATCACAGGGATCAAAGATCAAGCAGACAACAAAATGGGGTAACTGCTTACTCTCACCTCTTGCACATATGACAGTGCAGCATGTCTTTCTGCAATTCTGGATGACAGCACTTTCCACAAAAAGGACATAAATTATCCTGCTGTTGGTAACAAGTATCGCATATCAGGCAATTGTGGTGCCACTGAGAACTAGACCGTGTGCCACACTCGACACAGATTCTGCAATTCTGAAGAAGAGGAAAAAGAAAAACAGTTTGTTAAATACTGTGATTGTAGTTCTGATGTAAATCCTTCTGAAATCAATGAAGCAATTGTGGATTACTCATTGAACTTTAATTTTAGTGGTGCTGCATCACTCCACCTACTCTTTGGTAGCTTAGGGACTAAACAAGAACACTCGAAAGAACACAATATGGTCCAGTCTATGCAACCTGGTGCTTGAAACTAAAATTAATCACTCTGCATCAAAATCCAATGACAGATCCTAATATTTTCAGAACAGTGGTCATCTCCAATTCTCTACCAAAGTAGAACTGAGTATGTAGTAAAAGATGGCTTGGAGGGCAGCCAAATGTCTGCTATACCTTTATGCTAGCCAGTCTTAAAATCTTGGGCACAGTCTTCTAAGTTGTGGGGCATTTGCTATCCACCCCAACTTTCTAATCTAAAACACAGTCTGGCCTTTCACACTCCTAATATACGAACTCAAAAAGAAAAACTAATAGCAAGCATAGGCATGTTAATATTGCAGATTTTAAATGGATAAACTGACTCATACTGGATTTCTAAACATTACCAGACGTCAATAATACATCAGCAAACAGTGTATGGTGGTTAATGTAGACTCTCACAACTGGTCAAAGTGCAGAGAATAAGTGACAGGGGAGTGGTCACCAAAAATGGGAGATCTATATCACATTCTGTCAATGAGGCTCAAGGAGCTAGGAAGCAGAAAAAGAGCCAGAGGTCAGAAAGGACTAGAACAAAGTGTAGTGTTTTTCTAACATGACAGGACTGCTGCACTCACCAATTCAAAGTAAGTGTGGTTGCAAGATCAAGCCAGTCAACACTCTAACATGGAAGGACAAGGTTCCTGAGCCCTCACCCCTAAGTGAGGAATATAGACAGCTGATGGCTTCTGGGGGTGGGAAAGTCCATTTTCTCTAAGAGTATGGCTCCTGGTAGGTCGACCAGTTCTAGGCAATCTGACGCCCTCTTCTGACCTCTGTGGACATTGCATGCTATGGGTGCACTTACATATATGCAGGAAATACAGAGGGAGGCAGAGGCAGGTGGATCTCTGTGAGTTCAAGGCCGGCCTGGTCTACACAGTGAGTTCCAGGACAGCTGCAGCTACAGGGAGACCGTGTGTGTGTGTGTGTGTGTGTGTGTGTGTGTGTGTAAAATACTACCAGACAATGGTCTAAAATCCAGACATAAGTGTCTCCTCACCTACAGTTGTTTTGTTAGCTACAAGGAGTAGAAAAAGAGGATGAAGACTTTGGCACCATCCTGACCAGGTGACCCTTTGATAACATAATCATCTATTCGCCTAGCTGTACTACCCTGAGGACACTATTTTGGCTCTGGCAATAAAAGGTAACCCAACCTAGCATAAGGAAATAGCAAAGACTAAATAAAGAAATCTCAGTCTCAGGAATAAACCAAGTAGGTTCTTCACAAACAGCAATGCCAAAAAGAAAAGAGCTCAAGGAAAATTTTGAGATTAAAGCACAGGGAAGTGGAATACCTGGCACTGGATTAGATCTGTCCCATACTTGGAAGGGAGGATACTATATGGAATGTTAAAACACGTGGCAAAAGTAGTGTGCAACAGAACAAAGTACTAAACTGACATAAATGTATGAAGCTACGGCAAGACTAAGTTCATGTAGGAATATTCTTACAATTAGAGAATATATACTGAAATCGTTAAAGCTAAAAGCGGCATAGTGCATGTAACCTAACTGCCAAATGGGGTGAGGGGTGGGGAGTTAAGTGGCAGAAATCAATCAAATGATGAGAGAAGCAGAATGAGAGACTCAGAGGGCATTAACAGTGACCTCTTTTTTTCCCTTCAAAGTACTAACAACAGCTGAATCTAGGTAAATGGTTTAAGTGTTATTCTATGTTTCCAATTTTTCAAGTTTAAAATAATTTTCAAATAACCTTTTAAAGAAACTTGTAATAAGGCCTTGGGGAGCATGCCTTTAGTGCCAGCAGAAGCAGGCGGACCTCTGTGAGTTCAAGGTCAGCTTGGTCAACATAGTAAGTACCAGGCCAGCTGGGGCTCCAGGGAGTCCCTGTCCCAAAAAGACCAGGAAAAAAAAAAAGAAATGTGTAATATACATGTACAGAAATCCCTGTAAAACAAAGGGAAACGAGACTCACCTGAGAGTGATGGTGTACAGCTAAGGTTAGAGGGCTGACCTTGCTCCACCCCAGTAGGGAGCAGCCCCTCTAGACGGGAACCCATGATGGGTACAGACCTACTTGCCCCAATGAAGCCATACACAATGCACCCTCAAATGTGAAACACGTAAACAGATTATGACTAAAGATTACAGAGAAAGGTTTTTTTTAAAAACTTCAGTATTGCCGGGCGTGGTGGCACAAGCCTTTAATCCCAGCACTTGGGAGGCAGAGGCAGGCAGATCTCTGTGAGTTCGAGACCAGCCTTGTCTACATAGTGAGTTCCAGGACAGCTGGGGCTGCAGGGAGACCCTGTCTCAAAAAGACCAAAAAAAAAAAAAACTTCAGTATCAGAAAAAGTTGTTCATCTTTCAATGGCTCAGAGGAAAGACCTTATGAAAAACTCTCTGGCGGGGTTGTGGGCACATAACTCAGTGGTAGGATGCATGCCTGGCGTGTTCAAGGCCCTGGGTTCAATCCCCAGTAATGACAAAAACACAACAGCTAACTGGGTACTCACTTTCTGTCAAGCATCAAACAGAGCTCTTCACAGACCTCATCTCATGAAACCCAGTGCCCCTATGAGATAAATACTCAACATTCTATACACTGGCCTACAGAAGTCAGATCACTTGACAATGATCATATATTTAGTGCTGAAAAACTGAGAATTTTGACTCCAGGGGTAAAGACAGGTTTTATACATATTCGTCATATAACAGCATTTAGAGAAATTAAGTAGCCAATGATATAGTTAGAAGCAGTATATGTAATTGTCACTTGGAAGAACTTGAGGCTATCATGGAGACGATGTCTGAGAACACACCAATGGAAAGCCAAAGAATAAACTGAGAAAGACATCCAGAATTCCACATAAAATTTCCAAAGTAATAATCAACAAAAATTTCCAGATGCTACTAATGCTAAAGAGAAGATAAAGAATGATATATATTATAAAAGGCAGGTAATACTTCAAAACAAAACAACAAAAAGACCTCTACGGTCCTACAAATGGACCTAACCACAGACTCACAGTGACTGAATGTTCTAGGCAAAGCTCATTTGTACAGCACCACTATAAGATAGAGTCTAGAAACAAACCCTAAGAATATCAAAAACAAAGCTCCCAAATGTCTCAGAGAAAGGAGGTGAATAAGACTTATGAACCGAAAAGACTGTTTCTATATCCTTTTAACAATTTTTATGTACATATGAGGCTGGAGAGATGGCTCAGTGGTTAAGAGCACTGGCTACTCTTGCAGAGGACCTGAGTTCAATTCCCAGCACCCACATGGCAGCTAACAACTGTCTGTAACTCCAGTTCCAGAGGAATTCAATGTTCTCTTCTGACTTCCCTGGGCACTGCATGACACAGGTGCATTTACATGCAGACAATACACTCATACACACAAAATTAAAAATAGTAATAAATAAAATATTTATGTATGTAATGTGCATGGCAGGAAGATAAGAGTTTAGCTTTATGGAGTACATTCTCTCCTTCCATGGGTTCTGGGAACTGAAGTCAGATCAGCAGGACTGCACAGCAAGGACCTGTTCCTGCTCAGCCCTCTCCATTGGCCTAAGAAGAGGTTAACCAAGACTCAAAATTTTTTTTAGCATAAAATGAATTTGAGGTTAACAGAAAAGATACAGGCTATTTTCCTGTTTTGTTTTTTTTTTAATGTGGCCCAGGCTAGCCTTGAACTGGTGATTCTCCTGCCTCAGCCTGTGAGTACTTGAATTACAGGCATATGTCACCATGTTAGGCAAAATATATTTATTTTTGGCAATGAAAATATAACAAGGTATATAGTCTGCTAATCAGAACAAAAAAAAGAAAAAGAAAGAAAGAAGCCACTGTGTTTGTAGTATTTTCAACATCTATGACCATTAACATTCATAAAAAAAAAAAATGATTCCAAATTGAAAATTGGTGCAGGAAAAGAAAAAAAGTAAAACAGAACAATTTTGTCTTAAAATAGTCATCATTTCTATTGCAACCAATCTCAATAGTTAACTATTAAACTTTCCAAAACACGTATTTTAAGTGAAACAGAAGGCTATAAGATGCTAAAATACAATGCTAGCTGGTGAACAACCTATTTAGCCATATGGTCAAGCAAAGCAAGTATCAGGTCCAAAAAGTAACGGGCAAGGGGGTACAATCACAGGACAAAGAGAACTTTTACACTAATAAATAGTTCAGTATATAAAACATTGGCCTAACCTGTTTGCTAAGTAACAGCCAAAGTATAAATGTTTGATTAAGGGAGGAAAACACAAGGAGAAACTGATAGAACGAATAAAGGTGGTTAATCTTTTTTAATTAGCTAGTCAAAAGCATAAATTAACACATTTCAGCACAATAATACAAAGGAAAAGAAAGATATTAGGTCAAATAGGCACACATGAAGTTAGAAATAGGCTCAGGTGCATCCAAAGTTATCAACAAAAGTAAATTTATAGCCTTAAATATCCTGTCTCCTTAGGAAAGAGAATGAATCACAAATTAGACTTTGTATTTCAGAAACCTATAAAGCAAGTGGAGGAATATCCATAAGATCAACGTGTGAATATACCAAGCAGTATGGCTTTCTCCTTAGCTGGATTACCATGGGAACTCACTGGTAGCCACCTCTCATTCAGGCAAGGAAGGAACTAGAACTACCAAAGCAGCCCTATTTCAGCCTGCAGGCTCCACCTCCCACGTAGCCACACCTGAGCAGAGTTACTCCAGGTGAGATAGACTTCCACTCACGCTCCAAGGCTCCCACCCCACCATTCCAACTACCACCTAATAAATCCTAATAAAGCCTCTGATTCCAGGCAATAATGCTCCTGAAGAACGGAGAACATGGTTCCATGGTTTGTCTCCTGGCTGTAGAAGTAAAGAAGAATCACAGAGGCCCTGCCTCCCCTCCTGCAAGCCGCCACGCCCTTCCCAGCTCTAAGGAAACCCTGCTTCTCTGTGGTGAGCCTCTGGGTGGGCGCCACCAGTCTGTTCAGCAACCAGGAAAACCTAACTGTGGGAAGCTCCATGCACCTCCAGTTCCAGGTGCTTCTCCACCACTTCCCTCCACGCCCTAAGCCAAGGAAGATGGCAAACATATGGGGCTTTAAAAAGCAAACACCAAGGCCTGTAGCAGATTAACCAGAAGCCCTTTAGTAGGCAGGCCAGTGTGACAAGAATGTGATGCTGTAGCGAGAGCACAGAAAATAGCTCTGCAAAAAACTAAGAACTTGACATTCTTCACAAAAATGCTAAAGCAATACTAAATAAAGAAAAATAAATGCTCAAGGTGTATACTACACACCTGTGATCCTAGCATTACCAGGCTGAGGCAAGAAAATCACTAAACCAGCATGAGCTACGAAAGGGAGGTCCTGGCTAGCAGAGACAAGGGAGAAGAGAGAGAGATGGGGGGAGAGAGATGGGGGGAGAGGGAGAGGGGGTGAGAGGGAGAAGGGGGATGGGGAGGGGGGAGAGAGAGGAGAACAAATGAAGGGGGTCAGGGGAGAGAAAATCTAATATAAAAACTAAAATTTAAGTGAGGCAGGTTCCAGTGGGGGGCCATGATGTAGACTTCAGAGCCTAGTGTAGCAGTGCTATTTACACCAGTCGCTAGTGCTATCAAAGAAAGGAGTTATTTTAACAGAAGAATCATGGGGAAAAGATCACTTGTCTAGGTGGCAGGAATATCCACCCCTACAGTCAGTGTCAGAATCCTTACAGCAAGCAGACTCCTGTCTTGTTCATGTAAGTACAGCAGGTTAGCAGTACACAGCAAATTAGCAAACTAAAGTGTAAAACTTCTGTGGAAATGAATGGGACTGATATTACAGATTTTAGTTATATCGTGGTAGTGAATTTATGAACAAAAGTCTAGTATTCAAAGACCACATGTTGGCCCTTTGAAGTCTGATTAAACTAATAAACAAAAGCTTGGCATTATCAATACTCTTTTTATACAATAATATTGTGAAAAGGCATTGTCTAGGCTAGGACTCAGTGGTAGGGCACTTGGCACATTCCTAGCAGGTCTGAGGCCCGAGGTTCAGTCCCTAGGAGAGGAACATTGGTCCACATTCAAAAGTCTACAGTCAGTGTGGATGAGAACTGAGTGTCAGTATCAACATTGTTGAAGTCAAAGAACTGGAACTTTCCATTAAATCCAGTCTTGATAATTTAGTTTCAAAGAAAAATCATTTGTTTAATTACATTAATATTGTTATTCCACTGTTTTTACTTTATAAATTCTATTGGAAAAGAGAAATAAAGGTTTCTAATTAGTGTGGGAGAAAAGTCCTCATTATTTCAGGTGAGTATGTATAGTGTGATACCCAAAACAGACAGCACAGTATTTTAGAATAAGAAAGACACTTTTAAAGATAGATATCTGAATTTCAGTCCCTATTCTACAAATAAGTAAACTTGGATACTTCAGCTATCCACTAAGCCTTCACCAACCTTCAATGTAGAATTTACTAATTAGCCATTACAGATTTCAAAGCATTTGGAATATTTTCATGATAAACTTGAACATCTACAGGACTTTCACAAAGCAAGGCCATATTAAATATTGTTTGTAAACATCTTCCAAGAAGAGTTTGCTGAGTATTCTGGGAATTTAAAGTAAACTGAAAATTTTAAATATTTTGTGCTTCTGTGTATTTAGTCAGAGAATCCATAGTTGCTTAACTGATACTTCAAAAAGTTGTCATTCAACCTAGAGAGTACACCAATGAAAATGCTTTAGTAAATTCCAGAGGAAGCTTAAAGTGAGTCACATGGAACATGTCCAGGTCATAAAGACACCAAAGCAGAAGACAGGAAGCAACTGACCCAAACAATAACCAGACACACAGCTGGGCACTGCACCAGAACAGCAGTCACTAATGAACTACACCCTAGGTCTTGGGATTGGTATCTTTGGAAGATGGAGAAGAGCAAACACTATCCTGTCACCTCCCCACAAACCTTATGGCTCTAGCACGAAGGGGTGGCAAGAAAGAGAAGGGCCATTCTGCCGTCAGCCAGGTGACCTAAGACCACCATCAACAAAGACACCCACAGAGTGCATTTAAAGAGCCCCACCCCAGGGCACTCAAAAGAAACCCAGAAATCTGCCTTTTAGGAGATGGTGACTCCAACTGTGAGCACGGACACCAGACTCAACAAAGCCATCTAGACTCAAGCAGAAGTGCTCTTATTAGTGTTGATGCTTAGAATTCTGTATGTAGACCTCCATGTAGTATGTACTTTGGAGAGGGAGGTGGCTTTTTTGACTTAGTGCAACTGTAATGAGATTTATACAAAATGTTGTGCATATCAAATTAATGTACATTTTTCTAGAAAATGTAATCAGACGAGGTTGAGAATTTGCCAAACAAGCTCTATACTCTCTGGTAACCTATGTCCCTGTTACCACATTCAAAAGTCTACAGTCAGTGTGAATGAGAACTGAGTGTCAATACAATTAGAAAACTGCTAATGAATCTCTCAGTTCTCACTAATGAAGCTCCTCATGCAGCAGAGGGCCAGGAACACAGAAGGTCACAAATGGCCAAAGCATAGAGATCAAGAATCTGCTGAATGCTGGTCCTTGGACAAGACTCCTTTATCAAATTTCACCCACCCAAGGCTCAGGGACCATCGCAGAAGAGGGGTCAGAAAGACTTTAAGAGCCAGAGAAGAGGTACATGACCATATGGAAACAGAGTCCTACAAGCTCCTGGGAATCTGCTCATATGATTCTATGGCAATGGTGTCAGCATACACAAGTCCCATGCAAACTCGGGCAGACAAAAACCCAGCATAAAACTGGGAAAATCAACAGCAGACCCCAATCTTATCTGAAGAAATATTGGCAACTGATTGCTGCTAGGTGAGGAAGAGCTGATCTTCCAAAACAAGGGACTCTAGAAAGTTTGACTAAACCTCAGTGGATGGACTTGCACTGGGAGACATCTGGGGACACTGATTTGACACAGCAGGCCTCAACACGGATGACAGAGTACATGGGTTCCAATGGTGGGGCTATGGGAGGGTGCTGGTGGGAATGTGGGCATAAAAGTTCTGTATGAAATACACAAAAATTCAATAAAAACAAATTTTAAACAAACTGTGCAAAGAGATCTTCAAAAGTATCCTGTCAGCTAAATAGTCTCATAACCTAAGCAATAAACAACAGAAGATATCCATAGAATTTGTCTAAATGTCCAAAATCAAGAAAACCAAGTTCGATAGGCATGACTATAATTTCAGAACTGGAAAGGAGGAAGGAGGATGAAGACTTCCTTCCAGACCAGCCTGCACAGAGCAAGATTGTCTCCAAACAGGAAGAGAGAGGGAGAGAGGAAGACAGGCAGGGGTTCAGGGAGGGTGGGAGGAAGGGCAGTAGAGATTTAGGCAATACAGAAAAAAGAAGTGAGTCAACAATCACTTATTTAAAAGCACTGACTACAGGGCAGTATGAACCCCAAAACTGCATGATCTAAGTATTTCACCTGTGTGTGTGTGTGTGTGTGTGAGTGAATAACATAGGTATGTATAAAAACAACAACAACAACAAAAACCTGTAGAAACCAAGAGGTCATCAATCAAAATACAATGACTTTGCCTCCGATTCTAAACTAAGCAGAGGTTAAAGTACACGCTTTTCCGTTCCCTCATCTCTTGTGTTCTTCTAATTTCAGAAGGCTTCTGAAAATGCCAATAAACAAGACAAAATTAATTCTTTCATGAGGCATCGTATGAAAGGTCACGACATTTTTAATAATTGCCCAAAGCTGTAAACAGCAATGCTTGCTGACAGGCTTTCAGTAAAGGAGTAGTAACAGAATTACCACAGGCACACACAACATTTTGTGTAACTCTCACTACAATTACACTAAGTCAAAAAAGCCTCCTCCTTCCGCAAACAACATATACTGCATGAGGACCTGCATACAAAATTCTAGAGCATCAACACTAATGTGTAATAATACAAGGCAGGCTGCCTGGGGAAAGCCAGAGAAGACTGTGAGCACAGGACGAAGAACCCCAAGGTGGACAAGAAGCTCTCAGGTAACAAAGAGACTCATTACATGGAAGATGGTGGTGGTGTGACGGTTGGATGGATGTGTCGAATTACAGACTTTAAATATGTGTAGTTTGCTGTATATTAAATTATATGATCAATAAAGCTGTTTTTGTAAAGCTGGTGATAATGTATACTTCTGAACAGGAATCTGATTTGTCTGCTCTCTATGAAATACAAAGGATATTGTTCTTATAAAAAAAAAACAAAAAACTTACTTTGCATTTCCAGCCATTGGTTGGTACTGATTTCATAACTGGTTGAAGACAAAAGGTATGATACCCTTTGTCACACGTATCACACACTAGCATCTTGCTATCTTCTCCCGATTGTCTAAAAAATAAGATAGCATTACTGATGCCTTATTTCTAAACTCACATTGTAACTCAAGTAATTACAAAAACAATCAATCCTAAACCTTTTTGTCTCATCTGTTTCTGTACACACAATGTTAGAAGCAATCCCTTCAAAGGAACATCCTTAATTAAAGCTTACCTAGTGTTAGCTTGATTTAGTTATTTCTGATGCCTGCAGAGAAGGAAGGGTTAAAGCAACAACAACATTTCATCAGTTTTACTCTGTAAAACTCTAATGCTCATCCTCCAAGGAGAGGTATAACTGATAGCTACATTGTGTCTAAAGGAAAGGATCCTGACACAAAACTTGGAAAGACATTGTCATATAATGAGAGAGCACTGAGTTTGCTGACAGATCTGTGTATGTTTTCACACTACTGTTTCCTAGCTATGTGACTCTTAAGCTGAGTTTCAGGTATAAAATGAGAATAATGACCATCAAAGATTATTGTGAAGATTAAATAGAGTTCTGGTTCAAAAGCTGAGAGTGTCCACCAAGCAGTAACTTACTAAGCCTGGTAATCAAGCCCTGGAGCCCACATGAAAGTAGAAGGAGAGAACCAACTTCCCGGAGTTGTCCTCTAACCTCCACATCCTAGCTCATATCTCTACCCCCATAATAAATGTAATTCTAAAAATATTAATTAGTAAAATGAAAAATAACCATGCTATAATTATGAATTACAATTTTAAAAAACTTTCTCCAAACACCCTTTCAACCCCCAAACTGGGTCCCTGAACTGCAGAATAATCTACCTTGATTTTTTGCAAACTCATCATTAATTCTCAGATACTAAGGATTTAATTTAAGAGGTACAGAAGGGAGGGTTTAAGAAGTATTGACAGAGGGATTATGAATCAAATATGAAAATCAGTAAGTAAGCTAGAAGATGGATCACTTGGACCTCCAGCTGCTATTCAACTTAAACTCTACAGACACATCTTCATCTCTTTAGGTAACTGGAAACACTTGAGGACAAGCACTCACTTTTTAATTCTTTTATCCCCTCAAATAATAAATACTTACAAATCCAAATTATCAAATAAATGCTAACTGACATTTTACCTAACTTTTAGCAGAGTATGAAAGCAAACGGTCTGATTTATTCCATACAATTCCAGATAAAGATGCTGACTGCTCATGAAGTAACTGTAAAACAGACGCAGCAATGCTGGGTCTTGCCTTCTCTTGCTTACAAAATGCTGATAACCTTCCCAAATGACCACGTTGACTACACTCAAGGACTGGAGGGAGAATCACAGAAAAGACTGGAGAAACGACCAAAGGATGGAATACAACAAATAAAAACACAACTCCAAAAGTTTGAATGCCACACAGTGGTACTCTGTTTTGGAACTATACTGACTAGAATCCACTAAAGGTAATTGTCTTTGTGACAAATATAAGGATTATATTAAAACAGTAGTATCAGCCAGGTGTGGTGGCACACACCTTTAATTCCAGCACCCTGGCAGCAGAAGCAAGTAGATCTCTGTGAGTTCAAAGCCAGCTTGGTCTCCATAGAGAGTTCCAGGCCAGCCAGAGTTACATAGGTAGATCCTGTCTCAAAAACCAAAATAGTAGTCTTAGTAGCAACTGTCTATCCTAGAATGGAAATTCAAACACAACACTGATTTTTTGGTGGGGCTCAGCGGCAGCAATTTCTGTAGTACAGCTTCCTTTCCTCCTAAAGCTCCTCACCAACTCCCCTCAAGAAAAAGCTGCTTTGTTTCTGTAACCTTTATTTAAAGTTATTAACATAGTTACATATTGTTGGAACATCTAGTTTTGTTTAAACATCCTTTAAAATAGTAAATATCTACTAAGATACGATGAAGTTAGGATGAATATAGCTTGTGATATAAAACACTTTTACCACATTTCACAAACCTTTAGCACTTAATGACAGGGTCTCTCAAGCTACTTACTTGCAGTTCTGGCACACTTTGCATTCAGGACACTGCCAACCTGCACGTTTTAATGGAGTAACTGCTATATCCAGGCACATTCCATGATAGTGCTGACCACAAGTAGTACAAAAGAACTGATCTAACAGGTCTCCCGGGCTGTCGCACACCGCACAGTTTGCATCTTCCTTTGCTATAATTGACAGCAAAACAATGGAATTGTCATGTAAGAATTTAGTATTTTTCTGATGTGACAGTTCAAAATCACGTGAAGGGAATTTGCATGGTAAATCTTCCAGACATTTGAAGTTAACCACACTGAAATGACATCAAGTCAGAATGAGGTCTCAATTAAAACACAGTCATGTATTTAATCTAAATTTAACCATATAGAGTTTAATCATGTGGTTTTGCAATTACTGGAGCCTATGTCTACTTGGGACCACAAGCAGTTCCTATTTACTGCTGAGCCCAACGGCAATGCTTGTCATTTACTTGATGCTCCAGACGTGCTTATTAGCAACAACCCAAGGGGCGGGGTGACTCAAAAGACACACTTGTAGTGCTAAATAAGGTTTATTAATATTAAATATTTGGAAATTTATAAAACCAAATTAATACAAAACTAGGATGTTAGTATCAATTAAATTAAAATTCTTAATCATAAACAGACTATTCAAATCAACTTAAGGGTTTTCTTAATACTGGATGACATCTTATGTAGAAGAACACTGATGGAACGTATATTCACATATTAGTACAATAAATAATACACTAATTATATACTCATCTATATGACTTTTAGTTTCAAAAGCATTAAAAATCAACATACCCACAGATACAGTCTACCTGTCAAATGGGTCAACAGAAAGCTTCTAACGATTTATTTACTATCGATTTACCCAGCACATAGTTAAAACTTTTAAATATTTCAATGTAAGAAGGGAAGCAAGATACTCTAAAAGCACACCAGTGCTGGTCATCTAAATAAGCCACTGTCACAAGAATCACAAAGTTTTGTTTTGTTTTGTTTTTTTCTTTTTGTTCAAAGTTTGGTCAATCTGATCTCTTCCTTTCTGATTAAAAGCACTTTCTTTTTTTATTATTTTTATTTTATGTGTATGAGTGTTATGCCTGCATATAGGTAAATGCACCTGTGTCATGCAATGCCCATGGAGGACAGAAGAGGCTGTCTGATCCCCTGGAACTGGAGTTACAGGCAGTTGTTAGCTGCCACATGGGTGCTTGGATTCGAACCCAGGTCTGCTGCAAGGTCAGTGTTCTTAACCGCTGAGCCATCTCTCCAGCCCCTTAAAAGCATTCTTTACCACCTTCCTTACAGGTCAAATATCTTGGAACAGGGTGATAATTATTCCTTTTACTTAACATAAGTCAGCAAAACTTTTCTGCAAAGGGTTATATAGTATATAGGCTTTGTAAGCAATAGCAGCATCTGTAATGCAGACTTTTCTCTTTTTTTTGGTGTTTTGAGACAAGGTCTACTCACTGTGTGGACCAGGCTGGCCTTGAACTCACAGAGATCCACCTGCCTCTGCCTCCCACGTGCTGGGATTAAAGGCCTGTGCCATCAGGCCTGGCTTGTAATACAGACTTTTAAATTTTTATTCACAGTCCTTTAAAAATTAAGTGCCATTTCCCAGCTTGAGGTTTAATATGACAACAGGTCCTGGAGTTTGCATGGCAGACTGAACCTCTGACTTAAAAGTCTTGCTCCACACCCATTTCCCACCTGAAGCTACTTTAATGAGGCTACCAATGGCCACATGAAATCCAACAGTTACTTTTTAGCCTGTGCCTTCCTGACATTTCCCAAAATTTACATTGTTAAACACTTTTCACATTTACACTTCTCTTTCCTTGGTAACTCTCCCAATCTCTTCTTAGGCTTCCTACAGCGTTGTGGGGAGTTTGTTGCACTATGATCACTTAAAATGCAGAGTCCTGTGGAATACATCTTTAAGTTTCTTTTCTACTTCTCCCTGGATTCCCTCTGTGATTACACAAACTCCTTTGATGTGTTATCAGATGCTGATACTCAAATCTGTATGATCACCCACAGACTTCTCTCGTAAACCTCAACCCTTTATTTCAAATCTTACAGAAGCTAAATAGCCAGAATTCTAAAAATACTCAACTCAAAACTCTAAAATAAAACATTTTGTGGCTTGAGATATGGTTCAGTGGTTAAGAGCTCTAGCTGCTCTTCCAGAGGACTCAGGCTCGATTCCTAGCACCCACATGGAGAACAACAGGAATCCCTAATTCCTGTTTGAGGGGATCCAATGACCTCTTCTGGCTTTCACAGGCTTTGTATGACACAGGTACACTTACATACATGCGAGCAAGCCACTCATACACATAAAATAATAAATATTTCAATAAAACATTTTTAAATCCTTTTTTTCTCAAAAGAATGTATAAAACCAGAAACTTTAGTAATATTTTACTGTTAATTCTGCCTTGACCCAACATACTTCACCAAATCCCAATTCTTTTGTCTTTTTGGTTGTGAGCCTGAGCCTCTACTAGCTACACCAGCTCTCCACGCCCCCAATTCTTTTTTTAAACTTTCCACACATTATTTTTCCTTCAGTCTTTAGTTTAACCCATGAAACTGTCTTAATATTTTATTTATATGTATGAGGGTATTGTCTGCATGTATGTAAGTGCCCCCATATCATGCACTGCCCGAAGAGGTCAGAAGAGAGCACTGCATTCTCCTCAAACTGGAGTTATGGACAGTTGTTAGCTGCCATGTGGGTGCTGGGAATCAAACCCAGGTCCTCTGCAAGAGCAGGCAGTGCTCTTATCAGCTGAGCCATCTCTCTAGCCCCAATGAAACTGTCTTAATAAAACTGCAGTATCTATCAGACTGGAAGTCAAAGATATAGGGGAGGGGAGGAACCAAGTATCTCAAAATGTTTATGTTGATTACATATTGAAATACTAGTATTTAATATATTAGGCTAATTAAAAGACTAAAACGATTGCAAATCTTTTTACTCCTTCAAATATGAATACCAAAAAATGCTAAAGTTGTTTTACCTTGCTCACATTGTTTTCTATCTCAATACTATTTCTATACAGTAAAACTCACTCTGAAACATTCTAGATATCACTATTGTAAAGATTACTATTTATTTTATGCCATTTTCCAGGAACTCCTTAATGACAATCCTGTCATGCTGCTGATTACTACAGATGGTTTGCAATACATCAATTAACAAAGGGAACCTAAAGATGGAGTGCTCGTGTCATAAAGAAGACAACAGAAGAAAAAAATACTATGCATTCAAACGAGGTCAGGTGCCTTTTTGATCAAAGAGCAAGGGTGTGTGGAGATATGTCTGAAGGTCATACATAATCTTATGCTGCTGGTGATGCATCAGACGTAAGTGCATGTGCATGTACACACAGAGAAATGTCTGAAACTCAGGCAACAATCAAACAAATAAAATGTTTAAGCATTTAGAAAAATAAAAGCAACTCACTGAAAGCAAAAACAAAGATAATTCTCAAGAGAGGGCCAAAGTCAAATCCAGTTTTCTTTAGCTCTGAAGATCATACTATTTACTCTATTTTAGTCAATACTTATACCTAAGCAAACTTTAGTACTCATCAATACGGTGAAGAACATCTAAAAATAGGTACAAAAGTAGAAAGGGAAGAGCAACAGAGACACAGGATGAAGAACCTGAATGAAGTTGGGTAGCAAATTTCTCCTGAAAGAAGAACACCGAGAAACGCCGTCTGTTGAGGTTAACCCCTGAGTCAACGGCTATGAGAGCTTCTCTGCTTTGGGGCTCAAATCAGGTAGAGTACCTGACACATGGCTGTGGAAAGAGAGGAGATAAAGGACAGGACAAGCACAGGGAGCTCTTCTCTGCTATAAATGGCTCAAAGTAGAAGAAGGTAAAGGCAGCATTTATGAAAGTCCAACCAGGGCTGCTGATGGCGAGACGACTCCGTGGGTAAGAACACTTGTTACTAAGCCTTATTACCCTAGACTGTGTGGTGGCTTGCACACTCTTACGTGTGCGTGCACACACACATGTACAGACACAAATACATACAAACTAAACAAATGTAAATTTTAAGTCCAACCAACACATTAAAAAGCAATGGTGAGGAGCAACATGTCAAGCTTCCGTCACATAGAAAAATCAGCTCAGGAAAGCTTTCTAAGTTACTAATATTGTAACAAATTCTACCTTCCTTCTTTTCTGACTGGCAGGACACTGGGTATGATTTGCCAATCAAATGACCCCTATGAAGAAAAAGGAAATTATGGATGTCACCCAATATACAGATGAGACCTTTGTCAGAGAACTCACAAGACTTAGGGTAACATAAAAGCAGCAGGGCAACCAGGAAGAGACTGGAACCAAACGCTTCCATGAAACCAAAGGAGATAGAGCTGCAGGATGGGGAAACCCACCAGGAGCAAAGGCAGATGAGGAGACACGACAGTACCACCTTTACCCTCTGCAGAGTCAAATGAAAATCCCTTTAGACTTCATTCATCTTAAGTGGCCTGTTTCCTCTAAGCAGACTACCACAAAGAATAGCTGTTGTTCATGAAACATGCTAAGCTAGCTCATTATTCAAGACCTATATAATAATCTTCCCCTCTGCATGGATGCTCTTTCCTTGACTTTGCAAAGCTGAATCCTTGCTATTTAGCCTTCCTACTCTGGGAATGTATCTAGTTTTATCTCCGAAACAGATATTTGGGGTAAAAGAGTGCGTGTGTGTGTGTGTGTGTGTGTGTTCATATATAGGAGTGCACATGTGTGTGGAGTGCATGGGAGGATGGCAGACAGATATCAGTATCAGGTGTCTTTCTCCATTTTCTCTGATGAAAATCTTGGCCTAGTTTACAAATACTTTATTTGGTTGTATATATTTCTAGTGAGACCAAGGTTTTCGTGGGGTTTCTTTATGGGGGGCGGTGATACAAGGTCTCTCCATATCTCTGACTGGCTTGGAACTTGTTATGCAGACCAGAATAGCCTGGACCTCCCAGAGATTCACCTGCCTCTGCTTGGATTAAAGGTATGTACCATCATGCCCAGAATAGTTTTCAGTATTTTTTCACCTTTCATAAGAAGACTTGTCAATCCCACTGTAACTCGGCCAATTATAATACCATAGCACTGGCACTTAGCCACACATGTGTGTGCTCAATATAAATTACTATTCTCACATAGCAGAGTTTTTGAGCCTTAAGAGTTTTAAAACATTACCTTTTGTAAAGCAATTATAGACATAAGGTACTATGCTATAAATTTTCCATTAACATGGTCATTTAACATTCATAATGACACTGTTACTTAAGAATCCATTGAAATCCCATAAAAAGTTAAGTGCCTCATGCCATAGCCCTCAATTAAAATGGCTGGGAACAAACTTATGAAGGATTTTAGCTTGAAAGAAGACATACACTCTCTGCAAAATTTTATACAGTATGTTCCTGGATCAAAACGGGCTGCTCAGGGGCTAGGGAAATGGCTAGGCTGGGAAAGAGCTCCCTGGACAAACATGAGGGCCTGAGGTACCCCTGGCCAGGGGCACACACAGGACAGACCCAAAGGCAGATCCCGAGAGCTCACTGTGACCAACCAGTCTAGTCAATCTATGACCTTTTAGTTCAGTAAGAGACACTGTCAGAGAAGGTAAAGAGTGATAGAAGAAGACATGTGATAGTACACTCTGGCTTCTATCATGCACATGCACCCACAGTCAAGCATACATGCATGCATCTGCACACACATACACAAAAGTTGGAAAGATACACATTTATACTGCATGGTGTAGATAGCCAAAGAATCGAATTTACTACACTAGACGCTGGCTCATGAGACCAGTGGCTCATTTATTTAGCAAACAAACAAAGCCGTCTTGGAAGGGAGGTATGAAGGAAGGTAAAGACAGCCTTGCAGGGTTTGTTTAGAAAACGTCTAACGTCAATTTATCTTCAACTATTGATAACAGGTGAGATCCTAATGCGTGCCCGCACGCCCGCACACACACACACAGGCATGGGGGGGAGGGAGGTGGGAGAGGGTGAGGGTGAGGGAGAGAGAGGGAGGGAGAAAGAGAGGGAGAGACAGGGGAGAGAGAGAGGGGGAGAAGGAGGAAGGGAGGGGGAGGGAGGGAGAGGCAGGGAGAGGGCTCAGGTGGCTTTTAACTACTGCAGATATTTAATGCTATTAGTAGAGTGAGAGAGAGAGAGAGAGAGAGAGAGAGAGAGAATGAGATAAGTACCCATATTTCCTTCCTTGTATTTTGGAAAGGGCTGAGGTCAGATTTGTGGTTAACATGCAGAGAGTACGTATTTTGGGGGGGTATCGCCTTCATTTGTTATTACCAATATTGATCAAATCTATATTTCCAATAGCCAAATTTCCTTACTGAACTTTTCATTTGTTAGTTGTATATTTTTCTGAGTTCCCACGAATCTACTTTGGAAGAAGACACAGTACCAACAATTTCAGTGACTCTTTTAGCTTTAAGTTGCAAGCATTGTCTCTTACCATCAGCATAACAAATTACAAAAAAAAAAAAAAAAAAAAAATGACCTCATCCAGTTCTTACAGTTCATAATGTTACAAACTGATTAAGGACCACTAATCTATTGGGGCTGGCTAGCTTCAGCTACCAACTTGACACACCTGGGTAGAGGGAGCCCCAACTGAGGAATTTCCTCCATTGAACTGGCCTGTGGGCATGTCTGTGGGGCATCTTCTAGATTGTTGAGAGATGTGGGAGGCCCAGCCCACTGTGGGGGCAGGCTGAGCAGGGGCAGGGGAGCAAGCCAGTAAGCAGCATTTCTCCATGGCCTGTGCTTCAGCTCCTGCCTCCAGGTTCCTGCCCTGACTTCCCCGAGTGATGAACTATGAACAACCTGAGAGACGTTAGATAAAATAAACCTTTTCCTCTCCAAGTCGGTTTTGGTCAGGGTTTTTATGACAGCAACAGAAAGCTAACTGGAGGTACATACATGATCAGAAAAAAAAACAACATGCTATTAATTAATTTTCTTACATTAGACCATGTTCATATGTAACTTTTCATTTTGTTTACTGAGATAAACTTGATTGAGTCTGAAAGGCTGAATAAAATTCAGATTCTTATACATTTGTTTATAACATGTTTTATTTGTTCAGGAGTACTAGACAACCCTCAATAGAATAGACTTGGTCATCTGAGTTTATGCACTTCGGGAAATAATTCACTACAAAATAATAATACCCAAAACAATTGCTGAGCATGAATGCTCTTTTTCTTCCAGGTTTGAGGGAACATAAACAAAATATAATGTGAAATCTCAGTTTGTTTTACCTGTAATTTAATTCTGTTTGGTGAATAAGGACATATGATCACATGTGTGGATAACAAAGTTATTTTGACTGCCCATAAAATTAGATAGAGAACAAAAATTAAAAAGTAATGATCATGCAGAAGCAGGCAGATCTCTATGAGTTCGAGGCCAGCCTGGTCTACATAGTGAGTTCAGGTCAGCTGGGACTACAGGGAGACCCTGTCTCAAAAAGACAAAAAGACAAAAAGACAAAATGTCACATGCCTTTAGTCCCAGTGCTCCAGAGGCAGAGGCAGGCAGATCTCTGTGAGTTCAAGGCCAGCCTGGTGTACATAGTGAGTTCCAAGTCAGCTGGGGCTACAGGGAGACCCTGTCTCAAAAAGATCAAAAAAAATAAAATAAAATTTTTATTTTTTAAAAAGTAGTGATCGTGTCAGTTTAGCCTGTGTTTCATAGACCTGGGAAAGATAGAAAAAAACTCTCTTAAAAACATTGCTTGGGGGTGGGGGGGGTGGGGGTTTGAAAGTGATTAAAAGACTACACTGCTAAGAAATCAAGAAAAACTAACAATTAGGTAAGTAAGAGATAAAATATTGACTAAATTTTAATAGAAATTTCATAGGTGAAAAATTCAACTTGCTAGGAGGAAACAAAACAGGAAAAACCCTGAGACATCCATTTGCCAGATGACCAGATAGCTTACCAGGTCAAGATGCTTGCTATGTAAGCCTGGCAACTCGAACCCAGGTAAGGCACAGGGAGGTAACTTGACAAAGTTGTCCACTGACTCCCACATGCATGTTATGCACACACACAAAAACGTCATGTATACATATACATAAACAATAATAAAAATTTAAAAAGAAAAATACATTCATTATACATATGTATATACAGTGAAAATAGTTCTTTGGTTAATGATAAAGAAAATAATTATAAAATCAAACTCAAACATTTTACTTGATTTAAAAAATATTGTTTGAAAAGAGAAAACACCATTGCAGATTAGAGATAAGCAAGACAGACAGATCAGGAAGCAGCGCCACAGAGACTTCTGTCATGAGCCTACAGTTTCCAAGGTTAGGGTATGCGAAGCCCCCATGGCAGATGTCCTGACATCAATTTGTAGGGATCCCCCACAGGGTATTAGTTTTCCCTAAAAGATACTGAATACTGTTGAACCTTTAAAAAAATTTTTAATTGAATTTTTGTGGATTTCATACATCTCAATCATATTCTGCCTCCCGTTCCCTGTCTGCACTGCCCCACATCCCACCTATAGGACTTCATGCACTATTACGGCCTATCAAGTCTAGTGTGTGTCCCCAGATGGCCCTCAATGTGAGTTTATCCACTGAACCCTGTTTAGCCTGTCTAGCATCACTCCCTTAAAGATCAACTCTCCGTCACCCAGCAGTGCTGAGCTGTCAATATTTTCTCACCAAAGTTGTGGCCTCCTGCCCATTTCCCCAGTTCCATGGCAGTTTTTGTCTGATTGAGTTTGCATGGGTCTTGCGTTTGCTGCCTACATTGCTGTAAGTACATATGCGCAAGGTCCCAGAAGCTCGTAAGACTCTTGTTTATTTAATCCTTTATCATTGCTTCAATACATGGCAGAAACACTGTGTACTCAGCATGCCTTTCCACAGTGGTTTAAAGAGAATTAACATAATTTTAAAGATGGTAACTTTCTTTGATTTTTGGAGAAAATAACTTTAAAAATTTTTTTATTTATATTTTATGTGTATGCGTGATTGCCTGCCTGTAGGTAAGTGCACCCGTGATGTGCAATGCCCGCAGAGGTCAGAAGAGGTTGTTGGATCCCCGGGAACTGGAGTTACAGACAGTTGTTAGCTGCTATGTGGGTGCTGGGATTCACAAGAACAATCAGTGTTCTTAACTGCTGAGCCATCTCTCCAGTCCAAGAAAATAACTTTTTAGAATGCCAATAAAATTGCTGGCAATAGATTTTTTTTCCTCAGAAATCTGATAATCTGTCAGACCATGAGGATGTTCCTTATTCTAAGGGACATCATAACATTACCTTCTGATACAAATAACATAATACTCAGAATTTACATACGTATTTTAGGCAAACACCTTAGTGATAGGTGTTTAAACTGTCACTAAGAACTGTATCAGAAGTAAACTTACATCTTTCAGGAGCTTGGTCAATGTGTTCTGGACAGAGAAGGAAGAAGTGACTGAAGTCCTGGAAGGCACCGGCCCCTGCCGCACAGGGGTAATGGTACATCTGCGAACACTTCTCTTCACAGCATTTGATAGTGGCTCCAAGGTGCTTGCAAAACGCACAACGCTGGAAACAGAGAAAAGAAAGAGATCTCTTCATGGGACCCTGAAAAAGAGTGCTCCAATGTTGGGGCAAGAAGACATTCAGAAATATTTGTACCTGACAAAGGGAAACAACTGGCACCTACAAACAAAGGATGAGTTTTAATCTCAGTACACCTGAGGCAGAGGCAGGCAGATCCCCCTGAGATCCAGACCAGCCTAGTCTACACAGCAGGTTCTAGGCAAGCTGAGGCTGCTGGGAGACCCTGTCTCAAAACAAACAAGCAATACCCACACCACACAAACACCACCCAAAAGAAACAACAACAAAAACAAAACTAAGAATCTAAGGGACTCATTCATATGCCACCAAATCATAGTAGAAACTTAGCATTTCATGTTATCCTGCCAAAAAATATGCAAATAGTGTTCTGTTATATCCACATAGTAAAAAATATATAGCAAGAAGCACTACAATGATTTCTGTCCAACTATGAGGTGTACAGGGCTCCCAAGATGTTAAGAAGTGTGTGCTCCTATAGCAGATATTCTGACATCGGTTAGTTCTGCTGTTGTTAAATTGGTAGAATAATTTTAAAAGCATGTTTAGGAGCTGGGGTGTTCCTCAATTGGTACCTGTTTGCCTAGCATATATGAAGTTCTGAGATCAAGGCCAGCAAGCCTACATGAGACCCTGGACAGATAGGTGGATAGGCAGGTGGGTATTTAGGTAGACCGACAACGGATTCATAGTAGAGGGCTATTCTTATTTTTAAATACCTCCAAGATTATAGATTTATAAGACATACTGCCTTTTGAAAATACTACTTTAAAAACACCAATGTGAAATAAACTAGTCAATCATAAAGTGAAAGATGCAAATTAACTGTACATATTTCATAGCCAGACATGATGGTGCTTATCTATAATACAATGAGGAGAGCTGAAGCAGGAAAATGGAGAATTCAAAGCCAATTTAGACTACATAGCAACTCTATATCTCAAAAACCTCAAATTAATAATAATAATAGGGCTGGAGAGATGACTCAGCAGTTAAAAGTACTGGCTGCTCTTGCAGAGGACTTGGGTTCAAGTCCCAGCACCCAGATGGTGGCTAATAACTATCTGTAACTCCAGTTCCAGGGGAGCTGGTACCCTCTTTTGACCTCTGTGGGCATTGCATAACACAGGGTGCACTTACAGGCATGCAGACAATATACTTATACACATAAAATAATAAAAGTAAACAACAAATATTAAAAAATTAATAACAGAGCTGGGCGTGGTGGCACACGCCTGTAGTCCCAGCACTTGGGAGGCAGAGGCAGGCGGATCTCTGTGAGTTCAAGGCCAGCCTGGTCTTCATAGTGAGTTCCAGGCCAGCTGGGGCTACAGGGAAACCCTGTTTCAAAAAGACCAAAAAATAAATAATAATAACAGGGGGAAAAAAACCAAAACAAAACACCTACAAACTCAACTGCAGCAATTAGTTTAAAGTCTCTATACAAAAGTTGGGAATCATCTGTGTACCTTCTTTCTACTACACTCTGGCTCCACACTCTTGCAAGTGGTAAAAAGCACAGAAACAAACCCAAAACAAGCAAGAGTACCCAGGGCAAGTGAATGTCTAGCTATTTTAACATTTTGCTTCTTCAGTTTCCACTTTCAAGATTTTGTGTTCAGCCCTTATGCCACAGATTACTAAACAACTAAACGTCTGTCTGATTGATACGTGCTTCTGTCCCAGCATTTATGACTTTACAAAGCAACTATCTTTTTTTTCCATCTTCGTCCAAGACCCTTGAGTCAAGGCACCAGGCTGTACTGCCTCTCTGTCAATAGAGCCAGGATTGCTACTTGATACAAAAAGGCTAATGAACAGGTGCTCACTGCAATCACCAGACAGACTTCATCTGGGTCTAGTGTGGCTCATAAATAGCCTAGCTAAGACAACTAAATTCTCATTCAACAGAGGGAGGTAGACTCTGAAAATATCTTCTGTCCACATGCTAATGCACTGATTCTATAATAAGTAATTGGAGAATAATAGCTTTCTAGCTACAACTGCTTTTGCCATTTTGTGTCAATCCAAGATGATCACATATTATCATACTTCTGCATTTTCATCAATCCATTACAATGATTCATGTAAGAAAACAATCTTACTTTGTCTTCCATACATTTTGGGTTTTATTTTTATTAGTTTTTATATACACAAGAGTTTTTCCTGTATGTGTGTAATGCCCAGAGAGGCCAGAAAAAGGCATTGGATACCCTGGAGCTGCAGTTACAGACAACTGTTAACCACCAAGCTCAGGTCCTCTGAAGAGCAGACAGTGCTCGTAACTATTCAAAGTCTCTCCAGCTCCAGTCTCTATCTGTTTTGAATTCAATTCCAGAAACGACTGAAACATCTAAATAACACACAAACACTGCTTATATGTGACATTTCAATTTTACATTGTTCAAAAATCTACAAGGTGCCATGTGTGGTGACCCAAGCCTTTAATCCTAGCACTAGGGAGGCAGAAGCAGGCGGATCTCTGTGAGTTCAAGTCCAGCCTGGTCTACATAGCGAGTTCCAGGTCAGCTGGGGCTGCTGGGAGACCCTGTCTCAAAAAGACCAAAAACATTTAAATAAATTAAAAACCTACAAGGTATGCACATTTCAGTTCTTCTAGTGCTTAGAAGTGCTGGTACATGAAAAAGAGAAAGCAAAAACAATAGACCTTCCCAAAGTTCCTTAATACATTTGCAACATTAACTAAACCCAGAATTATTCCAAAGAATGTACTTATAGTCTAAATGTTACACAGTAAAGTGAAAAAAAAATGTTAATCAAAGAAAGTACACTCAATTTGCTTTAAAAAAATTCCTAATAATTCATTAGCAAAATATTTTCTTATAAATTGGCAAAATCTAGGATCTCTTGTTTTCATACCATACAGCAAGCTGTGCAGAAACCTTATGAATAAAAATAATTTTGGCAAATAAAATCTGAGTTTAGTTTAAGCGCATCATGAGGGGAAAAGTAATTTAAATTGATTATTTTCTCAAAGTTCATATCATCTTAAAACACCAGTATGTTGTCTTAATCATATCTGAGATGAAAGATACTACATGGCATTAGACACACTAGTATGAAAAGCAATGGAATTTATCCAATATATTAATTTAAAGTAGTATAAGGAAATTGGAAAAAAAGAAAGAAAATAAAGCATGAACTGCATTAAAATGAACCTTTTACTTTGGAACCCATCTGTTGGTACTCAGTGAAGATATATGCTGTGTACATAGGGTGGATTATGTCTGTCTAAACCATAAAAAATAGCTGAAAATTACAAAACACATCAAAGAATGAATCCTGAGAAGAAACTTCTCTAATATCAGCTCTATTAAAGCACATGCCGAATATCAAACAAGTGATAAGTAATTATAAAGCTAGTTAAGGTGTAGGGAGATGGAAGCAAACATAAAGAGCTCCTAAACTGTCTGTCAGGTCAGTGACATACTCACAGAGAGTCCAACCTCCTAGATGACAAGATGTGGACGTGCAGGTGCGACCCCGGCACTTGAGAGGCTGAAGCTGAAGTCCAAGAATAGCATGAGCTACAGAGGGAGTTCCAAGTTCAGCCCAAGCTACAAATGAGACCTTGTCCCCCAAAATAAATTAAACAAAGAGAGAAACTGCCTAGGTATCTTCCTCTTAGGAGTACGGTTAGCAGGCACTCGGAAAGCAGAGGTGGGTGGATCTCTTTGACTTCAAGACCAGTCTGGTCTACACAGCAAGTTCCAGGCCAGGCAGGGCTACACAGTGAGACCCTGTTTCAAGAAAGGAGGAGGGAGGGAGGGACCAGAGGGAGAGAGGGATCCACAGTGAAAACCAAAACAGAAGCAGCACCACATTTCAAAGATTAAAACTGTGTCATGAAGCAATAACAAGAAGTTCAAGAACATTCCAAAACTTGAATTAATTATCAAGTAGCTATAGCAATGCTTTTTAGGGTAGGTGCTCTAAGAAATATCGTTTCCAAACTCCCACTATGTGTATGTGTATGTGTATGTGTATGTGTGTGTGTGTGGGTATACATGTGTGTGGTATACGTCTGTGGTTCACAAATGTGGGTGTGTGTGTGTTCACCTATGTAAAGGGAGAAAGGGAAGGTGGGGTTGAGGTTCAGTGTCTTCCTTGGTCACGCTCCACTTGTTTTTCCTAAGTTGGATCTCTTCCTTGAACCCAGAACTCATCAATGCCAGTCAGTCTAGCTAGCCAGCCTGTCCCAAGGAACCCATCTCTACTTTCCAAATGCTGATTTTGCAGGAGGCTGTCATGCCTGCCTAGCTTTTATGTGGGTTCTGGGGATCTTAACTTTTTTCCTCATGTTTGTGGGGCAAGTGAGTCATCTCCCCATCCCAAATTGTCTTTAATCTTCACCAGTTATCTCTATTAGTCACTAGGATTCTCTCAAAGCATAGTAATAAAGAACAAAGATGGGTTCTGAGGGTACAACTCAGGGCTACAGCACTTGCCTAGTAAACACAAGGGGTGGAGGAGTAGGAGGTATACGCCTGTAATCCCAGCTATTCCCATCACAGTTTTAAGGCTCCAGGTCAGCATGGGAAGGAGAGAGAGAAGAATGGAGAAGAAAGAAAGGCAGGAAGAAAAGGCTGAGTTACATAGAAAATATATCTGTTCAATAAGAACACTACTAGTAAATGCCAGGCGTGGTGGCGCACGCCTTTAATCCCAGCACTCAGGAGGCAGAGGCAGGCAGATCTCTGTGAGTTTGAGGCCAGCCTGGTCTACATGGAGAGTTCCAAGACAGCTGGGGCTACAGGGAAACCCTGTCTCAAAAAGACCAAAAAGGGGCGGGGGGCGATGAGGAGGAGGAAGAAGACAAGGAAGAAGAAGAGGAAGAGGAAGAAAGAAGTTGTTTTATGCTGATATCTAATAAAAAACACTTAAGCATAACACTCAACCACTTAACAGACCAAGAAACTAAAATACAGTCTTTATGTCATTTC